TGCACCCCCCCCCCGCACGCCGGGAGGTCGTTGCACCCTCCGCCCGCTCACCGGGAGGTCGTTGCACCCTCTGCCCGCTCGCCAAGAGGTCGTTGCACCCTCCGCCCGCTCGCCGGGAGGTCGTTGCACCTCCGGCCCGCTCGCCGGGAGGTCGTTGCACCCACCGCCCACTCGTCAAGAGGTGGTTGCACCCTCTGCCCGCTCGCCAAGAGGTCGTTGTACCCTCCGCCCGCTCGCCGGGAGGTCGTTGCACCCCCGGCCCGCTCGCCGGGAGGTCGTTGCACCCACCGCCCGCTCGTCGGGAGGTCGTTGCCCTCCGCCCGATCGGCGGGAGGTTGTTGCACCCCCCGCCCGCTCGCCGGGAGGTCGTTGCACCCCTCGCCCGCTCGCCGGGAGGTCGTTGCATCCCTCGCCCGCTCGCCGGGAGGTCGTTGCATCCTTCGCCTGTTCGCCGGGAGGTCGTTGCACCCCACGCCCGCTCGCCGGGAGGTCGTTGCACCCACGCCCGCTCGCCGGGAGGTCGTTGCACCCCACGCCCGCACGCCGGGAGGTCGTTGCACCCCACGCCCGCACGCCGGGAGGTCGTTGCACCCCACGCCTGAACGCCGGGAGGTCGTTGCACCCCCCGCCCGCTCGCCGGAAGGTCGTTGCAACCCCCCGCCCGCTCGCCGGGAGGTCGTTGCACCCTTCGCCCGCTCGCCGGGAGGTCGTTGCATCCCTCGCCCGCTCGCCGGGAGGTCGTTGCACCCACGTCCGCTCGCCGTGAGGTCGTTGCACCCCACGCCCGCTCGCCGGGAGGTCGTTGCACCCTACGCCTGCTCGCCGGGAGGTCGTTGCACCCCCGCCCGTGCGCCGGGAGGTCGTTGCACCCTCTGTCCGCTCGCTAGGAGGTCGTTGCACCCTCCGCCCGCTCGCCAGGAGGTCGTTGCACCCCCCGCCCGCTCGTCCGGAGGTCGTTGCACCCCCTGCCCGCTCGTCGGGAGGTCGTTGCACCCCCCGCCCGCTCGTCGGGAGGTCGTTGCACCCTCCGCCCGCTCTCCGGGAGGTCGTTGCACCCCCCGCCCGCTCGCCGGGAGGTCGTTGCACCCCTCGCCCCCGCTCGCCGGGAGGTCGTTGCACCCCTCGCCCGCTCGCCGGGAGGTCGTTCCATCCCTCGCCCGCTCGCCGGGAGGTCTTTGCACCCCACGCCCGCTCGCCGGGAGGACGTTGCACCCCACGATCGCTCGCGGGGAGGTCGTTGCACCCCACGCCCGCTCGCCGGGAGGTCGTTGCACCCTACGCCTGCTCGCCGGGAGGTCGTTGCACCCCCCGCCCGTGCGCGGGAGGTCGTTGCACCTCTGTCCGCTCGCTAGGAGGTCGTTGCACCCTCCGCCCGCTCGCCAGGAGGTCGTTGCACCCCCCGCCCGCTCGTCCGGAGGTCGTTGCACCCCCTGCCCGCTCGTCGGGAGGTCGTTGCACCCCCCGCCCGCTCGTCGGGAGGTCGTTGCACCCTCCGCCCGCTCTCCGGGAGGTCGTTGCAACCCCCCGCCCGCTCGCCGGGAGGTCGTTGCACCCCTCGCCCGCTCGCCGGGAGGTCGTTGCACCCCTCGCCCGCTCGCCGGGAGGTCGTTCCATCCCTCGCCCGCTCGCCGGGAGGTCTTTGCACCCCACGCCCGCTCGCCGGGAGGACGTTGCACCCCACGATCGCTCGCGGGGAGGTCGTTGCACCCCACGCCCGCTCGCCGGGAGGTCGTTGCACCCCACGCCGGGAGGTCGTTGCACCCCCGCCCGCTCTCCGGGAGGTCGTTGCACCCTCCGCCCGCTCGCGAGGAGGTCGTTGCACCCCCCGCCCGCTCGCCGGGAGGTCGTTGCACCCCTCGCCCGCTCGCCAGGAGGTCCCCCGCCCGCTCGTCGGGAGGTCGTTGCACCCCACGCCCGCTCGCCGGGAGGTCGTTGCACCCCATTCCCCCTCACTCCTCACCCCTCACTACATTTCCCCTCACTTATATAACCCCTCACTCATTTTTCCCCAACTTCTGTGTGTGAGGGGGAATGGAGTGAGAGGAAATCCCCCCTCACTTCATTTCCCCTGACGTCCATCCCCCCTCACTCTCTTCCCCCTCACTTCATTTCCCCTGACTTGTATTTCCCCTCACTCAATTTCCCCTCACTTCCATCCCTCCTCATCCCTGTCCCCCTCACTTTGTTTCCCCTCACTTCCATTCCCCCTCACTCCCTTCCCCCTCACTACATTTCCCCTCACTTATATTTCCCCTCACTCGTTTTCCCCCCACTTCTGTGAGTGAGGGGGAATGGAGTGAGAGGAAATCCCCCCTCACTTCATTTCCCATTACTTGTATTTCCCCTCACTCAATTTCCCCTCACTTCCATCCCCCCTCACTTGTATTCCCCTCACTCAATTTCCCCTCCCTTCCATCCCTCCTCATCCCTGTCCCCCGAACTTTGTTTCACCTCACTTCAATTTCCCCTCACTCTCTTCCCCCTCACTTCATTTCCCCTCACTCAATTTCCCCTCACTTCCATCCCCCCTCAATTTTATTCCCCCTCACTCAATTCCCCTCACTTCCATCCCTCGTCATCCCTGTCCCCCTCACTTTGTTTCCCTCACTTTAATTCCCCTCACTCCCTTCCCCCTCAGTAGATTTCCCCTCACTTATATTTCCCCTCACTCGTTTTCCCCCCACTTCTGTGAGTGAGGGGGAATGGAGTGAGAGGAAATCCCCCCTCACTTCATTTCCCCTCACTTCCATCCCCCCTCACTCTCTTCCCCCTCACTTCATTTCCCCTCACTTGTATTTCCCCTCACTCAATTTCCCCTCACTTCCATCCCCCCTCACTTGTATTCCCCCTCACTCAATTTCCCCTCACTTCCATCCCTCCTCATCCCTGTCCCCCTTATTTTGTTTCCCCTCACTCCATTCCCCCTCACTCCCTTCCCCCTCACTACATTTCCCCTCACTTATATTTCCCCTCACTCGTTTTCCCCCCACTTCTGTGAGTGAGGGGGAATGGAGTGAGAGGAAATCCCCCCTCACTTCATTTCCCCTCACTTCCATCCCCCCTCACTCTCTTCCCTCTCACTTCATTCCCCTCACTTGTATTTCCCCTCACTTCCATCCCCCCTCACTTGTATTCCCCCTCACTCAATTTCCCCTCACTTCCATCCCTCCTCATCCCTGTCCCCCTCACTTTGTTTCCCCTCACTTCCATTTCTCCTCACTCCCTTCCCCTCAGTAGATTTCCCCTCACTTATATTTCCCCTCACTCGTTTTCCCCCCACTTCTGTGAGTGAGGGGGAATGGAGTGAGAGGAAATCCCCCCTCACTTCATTTCCCCTCACTTCCATCCCCCCTCACTCTCTTCCCCCTCACTTCATTTCCCCTCACTTGTATTTCCCCTGACTCAGTTTCCCCTCACTCCCATCCCCCCTCACTTGTATTCCCCCTCACTCAATTTCCCCTCACTTCCATCCCTCCTCATCTTTGTCCCCCTCACTTTGTTTCCCTCACTTCCATTCCCCCTCACTCCCTTCCCCCTCACTACATTTCCCCTCACTTATATTTCCCCTCACTCGTTTTCCCCCCACTTCTGTCAAACATTATACATGTTGTATTTGTGTAGGCTGTAGTGGGTTAGCCTATAGGGGGGTCACAACATTAGGGTTTCATATTTGTACTCACAATCCTTGCTAGTCCATCATTCCAGTCCGTTATTTCTGACATGGTATCAGAGCAGGTCCTTCGCTAGGACCGTTCTTAGGGCCCACCGTTACCTACATACCTACCTACCTACCGTGCGCCTCGTGCGCCTACGCGCCCTCGTGCGCCTCCTACCTACCGCGCGCGCGCAGCCCGCCAGCCGCCCGCGCGCGACTCGACTTTTTTTTTTTTTTTAGCGCGCGTATCCCGCTAGCCGCCCGCGCGCGGTCGATTTCGCTGCGCGCGCCCCGCTAGCCGCACGCGCGCGGCTGTTTTCTTTACGCGCGGCCCCGCACGCTGCCCGCGCGCTGCCTGTGCGCCTCGCTGACGCGCCCGCTGCTGCAGCCGCCCGTCGCCCGCTCGCGCACACCCCGCCGTGGCCCCGCAGGCCCGCAGCTCGCCGCCGCAGCTGCCGCACGCCCGTTGCCCGCATCCGCCCGTCCGCCGACGCCGCTGCCGCCCGTGCACCGACGCCGCTGCCACCCGTGCGCTGCTGCCGCTGCTGCTTGCGCACCGCTCGCTGCTGCAGCCGCCCGTGCGCTGTCGGCGCTGCTGCCCGTGCGTATCAGCCGCTGCCGCCCGTGCGCCTCTGCAGCCGCCGCCCGCGAGTCGCCCGCTACCGCTAGTGCGCCGCAGCTCCTGCCCTTCGGTCGCGCACCGCTGCAGCTCCTGCTGTCGCGCTCCCTACTACTGCCGCTCGTGCACCACGCCGGCCCCGTTGACCCTGCGCACACCTTTCCAGCGGCCTTGTTCCTACTGCTACTGTCACTATGGCTAGTCCTCCCGTTCTAGCTTTCGATGCCGAGGGCCGCCCAGTGAAGTTCGAAACCTGGCTAGATGACCTGCACCTGTTCCTACAGCTCACTGCCAAGGAAGATATCTCACTGTACGACCATGCCCTAGGCCATGCCACTGCCCCTGACTCGTCTGCTGACAGCACTCTGCGTTCCCAGTGGCAGACCCGTGATGCGCACGCTCGCTTTGCTATTCGCAACTCCTGCCGCTAGACGAGCGCGAGCACTTCGGCCAGTGCAAGACTGCTAAGGACCTCTACACCGCTGTAGTTGCCCGCTACTCCTCACCCGCTTCTGCCACGCTAGGCCGCCTCACTCTCCCCTACCTGTTCCCCGACCTAGCCTCCTTTCACACTGTCGCAGACCTCATCACCCACCTTAAGACTAGTGAGGCCCGCTTTCGCGCTGCTATGCCTGCCGAGTTTCTCACTAGCAACCCCCCCCCGCTCTGGATCACTCTCTACCACATCGTCACCCGCCTCCCTGACTCTCTGCGCGCAGTCAGGGATCACTTCCTCTCTCGCTCCCCCACTGAGCTCACTGTTGCCCTCCTCGAGAAGGAACTGCTTGCAGCTGAGGCGAGCATCGTCGCTGTAGGCACCTCTCGTGGCGACCCCCGCACCCCGTTCTTTGAGGGGTGTTCCCCTTCCCCCCTCCTCCCCTCTGTCGCCTCTGAGAAGGTGCTGTCGACCTTCTTGGTGCTGAGAAGGTCGGGACCGCGTCTGCTTCGAGCGGGCGCCGCAGGAACAAGGGGGGCAGGGGTGGGGGTGGCGGCGGAGGAGGTGGGGGTGGAGGCGGTGGGAGTGGAGGCGCGGCTGGGGAGACTAGTGGCGGCAGTGGGGGAGGAGACAGCAGCGGTGGGAGTGGTGGTGGAGGCGGCAGCGGAGGCGGAGGTGGTCGTGGCGGCGGCAGGGGTGGAGGTGGCCGGGGCGGCGGCGGTGGGGGTGGTGGTCGTGGAGGCACTGGCGGAGGGCAGAGTCAGCAGCCCACCCCGACGCTTCAGGCCGCCCGTGAGTGGTATGCGCAGCGTAGCGTTACCTGCACGTACGTCATTCGCACAGGTGACCGCAGCGGCCAGCAGTGTGGGAGGCCGCACCCCACGCAGCGCTGCTTCGCGCGCCTTAACGACGCGTGGCGCACTCAGTTTCCTGCTGCCACTGAGCTGCCGCGCTGGGCTGATCTGGAAAAGAGGGGTGTTGATATTTGGGCTCTACCGTTATTTCTGACAACTTCTGTGAGTGAGGGGGAATGGAGTGAGAGGAAATCCCCCCTCACTTCATTTCCCCTCACTTCCATCCCCCCTCACTCTCTTCCCCTTCACTTCATTTCCCCTCACTTGTATTTCCCCTCACTCAATTTCCCCTCACTTCCATCCCCCCTCACTTGTATCCCCCCTCACTCAATTTCCCCTTACTTCCGTCCCTCCTCATCCCTGTCCCCCTCACTTTGTTTCCCCTCACTTCCATTCCCCCTCACTCCCTTCCCCCTCACTACATTTCCCCTCACCTATATCTCCCCTCACTCGTTTTCCCCCCATTTCTGTGAGTGAGGGGGAACGGAGTGAGAGGAAATCCCCCCTCACTTCATTTCCCCTCACTTCCATCCCCCCTCACTCTCTTCCCCCTCACTTCATTTCCCCTCACTTGTATTTCCCCTCACTCAATTTCCCCTCACTTCCATCCCCCCTCACTTGTATTCCCCCTCACTCAATTTCTCCTCACTTCCATCCCTCCTCATCCCTGTCCCCCTCACTTTGTTTCCCCTCACTTCCATTCCCCCCAGTCCCCTTCCCCCTCACTACATTTCCCCTCACTCTTTTTCCCCCCCACTTCTGTGAGTGAGGAGGATGGAGTGAGAGGAAATCCCCCCTCACTTCGTTTCTCTCACTTCCATCCCCCCTCACTCTCTTCCCCCTCACTTCATTTCCCCTCACTTGTATTTCCCCTCACTCAATTTCCCCTCACTTCCATCCCCCCTCACTTGTATTCCCCCTCACTCAATTTCCCCTCACTTTTATCCCTCCTCATACCTGTCCCACTCACTTTGTTTCCCCTCACTTCCATTCCCCCTCACTCCCTTCCCCCTCACTACATTTCCCCTCACTTATATTTCCCCTCACTCGTTTCCACACCCCACTTCTGTGAGTGAGTGGAATGGAGTAAGAGGAAATCCCCCTCACTTACTTCATTTCCCCTCACTTCTTCCATCCCCTCACTCTCTTCCCCCCTCACTTCATTTCCCCTCACTTGTATTTCCCCTCACTCAATTTCCCCTCACTTCCATCCCCCCTCACTTGTATTCCCCTCACTCAATTTCCCCTCACTTCCATCCCTCCTCATCCCTGTCCCCCTCACTTTGTTTCCCCTCACTCCCTTCCCCCTCACTACATTTCCCTGTCAGAGTCCACTGGGGATCCCCGACGATCCTAGGGAAGGGTTACAGGCACGGCGGCCTGGGGGTTATGGGCGCACTCACCCGCTACACAAACAAGCTCTTTTATCCCAGTGGTTAGTGACTGGGATTCTGACATGGTATCAGAGCGAAGATCTCGGGTTCGAATCCCGGTGTGTGCACCTCGGGCATCCCAGTGCGAGGGGGTGTCAGAGGTCCACTGGAGATCCCCGATTGATCCTAGGGAAGGGTTACAGGCACGGCGGCCTGGGGGTTAGGGCGCACTCACCCGCTACACAAACAAGCCCTTTTATCCCAGTGGTTAGTGGCTGGGATTCTGACATGTTTGTGTGAGTCGACTCAAATGTCGCCCAAAGGATGAGTGTTTATGTGAGTCGACTCAAATGTCGCCCAAAAGATGAGTGTTTGTGTGAGTCGACTCAAATGTCGCCCAAAGGATGAGTGTTTGTGTAAGTCGACTCAAATGTCGCCCAAAGGATGAGTGTTTGTGTGAGTCGACTCAAATGTCGCCCAAAGGATGAGTGTTTGTGTGACTCGACTCAAATGTCGCCCAAAGATGAGTGTTTGTGTGAGTCGACTCAAATGTCGCCTAAAAGATGAGTGTTTGTGTGAGTCGACTCAAATGTCGCCGAAAGGATGAGTGTTTGTGTGAGTCGACTCAAATGTCGCCCAAAGGATTAGTGTTTGTGTGAGTCGACTTTAATGTTGCCCAAAGGATGAGTGTTTGTGTGAGTCGACTCAAATGTCGCCTAAAAGATGAGTGTTTGTGTGAGTCGACTCAAATGTCGCCTAAAAGATGAGTGTTTGTGTGAGTCGACTCAAATGTCGCCCAAAGGATGAGTGTTTTTGTGAGTCGACTCAAATGTCGCCCAAAAGATGAGTGTTTGTGTGAGTCGACTCAAATGTCGCCCAAAGGATGAGTGTTTGTGTGAGTCGACTCAAATGTCGCCCAAAGGATGAGTGTTTGTGTGAGTCGACTCAAATGTCGCCCAAAGGATGAGTGTTTGTGTGAGTCGACTCAAATGTCGCCCAAAGGATGAGTGTTTGTGTGAGTCGACTCAAATGTCGCCCAAAGGATGAGTGTTTGTGTGAGTCGACTCAAATGTCGCCCAAAGGATGAGTGTTCGTGTGAGTCGACTCAAATGTCGCCCAAAGGATGAGTGTTTTTCTGAGTCGACTCAAATGTCGCCCAAAGGATGAGTGTTTGTGTGAGTCGACTCAAATGTCGCCCAAAAGATGAGTGTTTGTGTGAGTCGACTCAAATGTCGCCCAATGAATGAGTGCTTGTGTGAGTCGACTCAAATGTTGCCCAAAGGATGAGTGTTTGTGTGACTCGACTCAAATGTCGCCCAAAGAATGAGTCTTTGTGTGAGACGACTCAAATGTTGCCCAAAGGATGACTGTTTGTGTGAGTCGACTCAAATGTCACCCAAAGGATGAGTGTTTGTGTGAGTCGACTCAAATGTCGCCCAAAGGATGAGTGTTTGTGTGAGTCGACTAAATGTCGCCCAAAGGATGAGTGTTTATGTGAGTCGACTCACATGTCGCCCAAAGGATAAGTGTTTGTGTGAGTAGACTCAAATGTCGCCCAAAGGATGAGTGTTCGTGTGAGTCGACTCAAATGTCGCCCAAAGGATGAGTGTTTGTGTGAGTCGACTCAAATGTCGCCCAAAGGATGAGTGTTTGTGTGAGTCGACTCAAATGTCGCCCAAAGGATGAGTGTTTGTGTGAGTCGACTCAAATGTCGCCCAAAGGATGAGTGTTTGTGTGAGTCGACTCAAATGTCGCCCAAAAGATGAGTGTTTGTGTGACTCGACTCAAATGTCGCCCAAACGATGAGTGTTTGTGTGAGTCGACTCAAATGTCGCCCAAATGATGAGTGTTTGTGTGAGTCGACTCAAATGTTGCCCAAAGGATGAGTGTTGTGTTGAGTCGACTCAAATGTCGCCGAAAGGATGAGTGTTTGTGTGAGTCGACTCAAATGTCGCCCAAAGGATGAACGTTTGTGTGAGTCGACTCAAATGTCGCCTAAAAGATGAGTGTTTGTGTGAGTCGACTCAAATGTCGCCCAAAGGATGAGTGTTTGTGTGAGTCGACTTAAATGTCGCCCAAAGGATTAGTTTTTTTGTGATTCGACTCAATGTCGCCCAAAGGATGAGTGCTTGTGTGAGTCGACTCAAATGTCGCCCAAAAGATGGGTGTTTTTTCTGAGTCGACTCAGATGTCGCCCAAAGGATGAGTGTTTTTGTGTGAGTTGACTCAAATGTCGCCCAAAGGATGAGTGTTTTTGTGAGTCGACTCAAATGTCCCCCTAAGAATGAGTTTTTTTCTGAGTCGACTCAAATGTCGCCCAAAGGATGAGTGTTTGTGTGAGTCGACTCAAATGTCGCCCAAAGGATGAGTGCTTGTGTGAGTCGACTCAAATGTCGCCCAAAGGATGAGTGTTTGTGTGAGTCGACTCCAAGGTCGCCAAAGGATGAGTGTTTTGTGAGTCGACTCGAATGACCAAAAGATGAGTGTTTGTGTGAGTCGACTCAGATGTCGCCCAAAGGATGAGTGTTTGTGTGAGTCGACTAAAATTTCGCCCAAAGGATGAGTGTTTGCGTGAGTCGACTCAAATGTCGCCCAAAGGATGAGTGTTTGTGTGAGTCGACTAAAATTCGCCCAAAGGATGAGTGTTTGTGTGAGTCGACTCAAATGTCGCCCAAAGGATGAGTGTTTGTGTGAGTTGACTCAAATGTCGCCCAAAGGATGAGTGTTTGTGTGAAGTTGACTCAAATGTCGCCCAAAGGATGAGTGTTCGTGTGAGTCGACTCAAATGTCGCCCAAAGGATGAGTGTTTTTCTGAGTCGACTCAAATGTCGCCCAAAGGATGAGTGTTTGTGTGAGTCGACTCAAATGTCGCCCAAAAGATGGGTTTTTGTGTGAGTCGACTCAAATGTCGCCCAATGGATGAGTATTTGTGTGAGTCGACTCAAATGTCGCCCAAAGGATGAGTGTTTGTGTGACTCGACTCAAATGTCGCCCAAAAGATGAGTGTTTGTGTGAGTCGACTCAAATGTTGCCCAAAGGATGACTGTTTGTGTGAGTCGACTCAAATGTCGCCCAAAGGATGAGTGTTTGTGTGAGTCGACTCAAATGTCGCCCAAAGGATGAGTGTTTGTGTGAGTCGACTCAAATGTCGCCCAAAGGATGAGTGTTTATGTGAGTCGACTCACATGTCGCCCAAAGGATGAGTGTTTGTGTGAGTAGACTCAAATGTCGCCCAAAGGATGAGTGTTCGTGTGAGTCGACTCAAATGTCGCCCAAAGGATGAGTGTTTGTGTGAGTCGACTCAAATGTCGCCCAAAGGATGAGTGTTTGTGTGAGTCGACTCAAATGTCGCCCAAAGGATGAGTGTTTGTGTGAGTCGACTCAAATGTCGCCCAAAGGATGAGTGTTTGTGTGAGTCGACTCAAATGTCGCCCAAAGGATGAGTGTTTGTGTGACTCGACTCAAATGTCGCCCAAAGATGAGTGTTTGTGTGAGTCGACTCAAATGTCGCCCAAAAGATGAGTGTTTGTGTGAGTCGACTCAAATGTCGCCCAAAGGATGAGTGTTTGTGTGAGTCGACTCAAATGTCGCCGAAAGGATGAGTGTTTGTGTGAGTCGACTCAAATGTCGCCCAAAGGATGAACGTTTGTGTGAGTCGACTCAAATGTCGCCTAAAAGATGAGTGTTTGTGTGAAGTCACTCAAATGTCGCCCAAAGGATGAGTGTTTGTGTGAGTCGACTTAAATGTCGCCCAAAGGATTAGTGTTTGTGTGATTCGACTCAAATGTCGCCCAAAGGATGAGTGCTTGTGTGAGTCGACTCAAATGTCGCCCAAAGGATGGGTGTTTTTCTGAGTCGACTCAGATGTCGCCCAAAGGATGAGTGTTTGTGTGAGTTGACTCAAATGTCGCCCAAAGGATGAGTGTTT